CTTTGGCTAATTCTCAGAAAGAAGCTGTAGCTTTACTATTTATTAGAAAGCAGCATATCAATGTCACAATTCAGTTCCTATCAAGCACAAACACTGCATCAAGTTTGGAGTCAGTTTTGTTACATACTCATATTCAGGAGTACAGAAATATGTGGAGTTCACAGTGGCTTGTTCAAAGTTTCAACATTAGTAGTAAAAGGCATTTGAACGCCAATGCACTGACTGGGAAAGGGAAATCTTCCCAGCATTCTTCTCTAGAGCTGTGCATGCTTTTCTTGGCTATTGAGAAACATGGGGCTTGTCATGATTACATTAGATTACTTGGATTTGAAAAAAGGAATCACTAGTAAAGCTACCTGCTTATTAGTATATATTAACTCTTTCACTATCTAGAAGGAATTTCTTTATGTTTTTAATAAGTTTGCTCTCTATACTTTTATGCCTATTCCTTAAAATACAGAACATGTTCAATAATCATTAGATAATTTGCCCAGGCGAAGCAAGACTTATATTTGTTTTCAGTTTTATCAATCTAGAGATGTCAAATGATTTAAAAAAAAAAAACAAAAACAAACAAACAAAAAAACCCAACAGATTAAGTGATCACAGGACAGAAATTTAGTGAGACAAAGTCATTACCAGGGTGTTTTTTCCTCCAGGGTACCATTATCAAGGGAATACTGTTTACAGTGGTGGATAACTGTCACAGATTAAAGCTATAAGACTTGTTCCATACTACTTGTGGTTTATAAACTGATCACAGATATTGACGTTTTCCTCATTTCTTTCATTTTCTCAAAATAATGGAGAAGGAGCCATTATTTGATGGCAACCGCTTCCTTCCCTGGGTCCATGCCTTTAGCTGATTACATTGTTAGATCCTGTCAAAACAAGCCAAAAGGCACAAGGTCCCTGTTTTAGAGTGACTGAATGCTTTCCCATGCTCCTAACTGGAGATGTGTTCAATTTCCTAACAGTAATCATTCATCAAAAGAAAATGTGACATTCCAGCAGTAACATTCAAATCTAACACCGCGTGTTTTAAGACATTTTGCCCTCTTGTAGTATTTTCTAAAAAAAATAAGTTTAAATTATTGACGCTCCCAGCATCACACTGCATGAGGAAGCAAACCAGGTTCATGAAAAACAGAACATTTTATAGCAGACCAGATGTCCTCTTGGATTATTTGTTTAAAGAACCCCAAAAATATATTATGTACTTAAAGAAATACCAATTATGAAACAAGTTTGGAACAAAAAGTTTCAGGTAAGATAATACAAACCCAAGGAGAAGGTCCCATCTTTAAAAAAAAAAAAAAAAAAGACCCTAGCTGAAGAAAAAAAGCAATATTAAATATTGCATCATTTTTGTTTGTTATTTAACTTCAGGCAATAATCAATGAAATATGAAGACAATTTTACATTAATTTCTACCACAATATGAATGAGTTTCTATTCATTTTGCTTCCAGCCCATCTGATACATAACATCCAACATGACTCACAAATCAATTCAAATATTTGCATTCCACCATTACAGCTTGGAGAGGTAATAAACTCCGTGCCTATATTTAAACAAAAGCAGGCTCCAACTTCTACAAGTTATACATGAACAGCACTGTGCAGCTTGCACAGGTTTCTCAGAATGGCAAGGGACCTCCTTTGCTGCAGGGCTCCGCGTCTGCCTGCATCAGCCATCTTTAAGCACCAGGGCTCTCCAAACCCTGCGCGCCTAATATGTATATACAACTGTTGGATGTGTGATGCATCTTTATAGAGGTACTGAATAGAAAACTTGGAAAGAGAAGTAAACCACACCATCTGTATCTTCTAGTCATCCATTCCTGCCCTCACTATTAGATTGCACTTTTCAGTATTTTTCCTTGCTCTAGGTCAAAGACACATGGAAGAATACAATAATGAGAATTTCATGCAAAATCTAATATACCAACATTAAGAGTGTGAAAAGTTTACAGAAAATGCATCTGAATAAGTATTTCCAATAAGTACTCGCATAAAGTGATATTAAGAAATCCAAGATAAAAACCTGTAGAGCCAAAATATGTTAAAGTGCTTTTACCGTAAATGCACAGCATCTTGCCTGAGCAGCATACAATTCCCAGGTGCACTGAATTTCCCAGCTACAACATTAACTTCTAATGTCTATTATCTCATGGAGAACATATGCCTGTAAGCGTCATTAAACTCATTCTACTCTGTTCAGTAAAGTACAAATCCCAAAATTGCGTGGGGAAAGGAAAAGGCTGGAATGACAGCACCTTAATCTGGTGTGCGGAAGAGCCAGTCTTGCTATCAGGACTCACTCACAAACCAACAACAGCGAAGCAGCCTCTTGTGCCCGTGGGGAAAACAAAAGGAGTAAAAATTACCACAACGAGTCTCTAGTACACACAGTATAAATTATCTTTACCCTATTTCTGGAGAGGTTTCAGAGCAAATAGGTGGGCCCATTAAGAGTGATGGAGGCTACTTGCATGCAGTGATGCCTGCAGGATCCAGAACCCAGATACATTAAAAGAGGCCGATTAAACTCACCAGTTTTTATCCTGCACGCCCTGCCCCAAGGATAAGGTTGTATAGTCCTGTATATGTTAGCAGACCTTAAAGCATTTTACAAATGAAGCCAGTGATGAATGTCTCTTTTGCAGGTGGTGAAACTACGTCAATATGACTTGCCCAAACTCATCCAAGCAGGACAGTGGCAGAAATGGGAGTAAAATGTGGGACTATCGAGGCACCGTTTGGGGGATTATCCACTAGGTGAAGTATCACAGGGCTTTATAAATGGAGCCTAGATGCAAACTGCTTGGCTGAAGACTGTTTTCTGCAATGGTTAGATGTATTTTAACTCGCTACATTTCAAATATATACCCCTACCAAAAGGTACACCCATTAAAGAAATAAGGCAAGAAGTTACAGATCTAATCTTTGTGATCTGCACAAGACTTAGGTCAAAAGTTTTACTCAGCTACTCGTGTGTTCCCACTGAAGATCCAGACAAGCACAGGACAGTCAGTCAATAGGCAGCCAGAGATTAAGTTGTAAACGCTACATTTGTTTAGATTAACCAAGCAGAAATGTAAAAACCATCTCAAATAAAAAGTACTTCCACTTTTTTTTCAGTTCACTACAACCTTTCGTTAAAAGGCTAGGTCCATCTGCTGACTGTGTGCCCCCGGAGAGTAGGTCAAGTAAAGATACATGTGAATTGCAACTGGAGGCTTAAGTTACTGTTCTTAAAATCTGCAACATGAATAAAAAGACAACAACACACAGAGAAAGGCAGCTGTAAAGTTACATCTGCAGTTTTTAACACAAAGCACGCTTTTCCAGGTGAATAAGTTGGTCTCCAGCTTGGTTTTATTCTAGATATCAATCAGCTAGATGAGTCCAACTGTTGACAATTATACCAGGGTATAAAATTTGCAGTTGAAATAAAGGTGTAGTCATGAATTTGAGGACAAAACTTGCATAAACAGAAGTGAGCTCTTCACATTAGATTTCTTCTCACTGCTTTGCCAGGAACAATACAGGTATTAGCCCGGAAATTCATCATAAGCAGTGTAAATACCTAACACTGATGCTATCCTGTACTCACCATAGCAGGAAACTATTGAGCCTTCCATCAATATCAGCACTTCATTCTGAAAGTGTTTTAGCTCTCAAAATCTCCACAAAAATCACCAGAGTGGCAGACAGGATACTACATAAGTTCTGGGAGTTGTTTTCAAAGTACTATCAGAACAATCTTTTCCCCCCATGGCCAACAACAGCACAGATGACAAGCACTGACGTTTACTGCATTTGTGGACTTTAACACTGGACTTGACCCAGCGATGTGCGACCACCGCGGTCAGTGCCGCATCTGTCCATCCCGAGGGGTACCTCGATGGCTGCACAAAAGCCTCCTCTTTTGCACAGACTACACTTGATTCAAACTATCCCTCTCCACTTTCAGGAGCACGAAGTTGCCCGACACTCGTGCCCGACAGGTAAAAGCACCTCACCCCCCGCCCTGCAGAGCCCGGGCGCTGGCTCTGTCCCTGCGAACACAGACTTTACCAGGCGAGAACGGTCCCAGCGGCCGACCCCAGCGCGGCTCCAACGGCCGCGGGCGCGGCACCCTTCAGCCATCTTCTGGAGGACGGGCCCCAGCCGAGCCCACTCGCCACCCAAACTCTGCATATCGGAAATCACGCTTCTCTAGAAATCGCCGTTTCGTTTTCGCACCTCCAGCCCCCTGCGAGCCTCCCAGCCCGCTGCCTCCGCACAAGTCACACCGGGGGAGGTGAAAACTTGTTGCTCCCCGCTCCCTCCCCGGAGGCACCTGCCCGCCGCCCTCCCCACCCGGCGGCAGCTCCCCCTGCCCCTCGCCCGCCCTCAAACTCGCTCCACGCGTGTGCCGCGCCCCGCCGGGCTGGCCCCCACCCGCGGCCCGCTCCCCGCCCGCTGCCCCGCCGCACCTGCCCGCCCGGCCCCGCGGCACCTGCTGCCCGGCGGCGCGGCCGGCCGGCCCTCACCATTGTGGTTGACCCAGGTCGGCTTCAGGAGCTTCATTGTTTCCCGCCCGGGGCCCCCGCCGGCCTCCGCCCTCGGGACCCCAGGGCGGCTCCGCCCGGGCTGCCTCCGCGGCCGAGCGAGCGGCGGAGCTCAGCGGCCGCCGGCCACCATGGGCCCCCGCTGCGCGCCGCTCTGCCCGCCCCCTCCGCCGGCCGGAGCCGCCTCAGCGCCGCTCCATGCCCCGGCGCCGCCCGTGCCGCAGCCCCCGCCGCCCGGCCGCATCCCCTGCTCAGGCTCCCGGCGGCTCCCGGCAACGCCGGAACTCGGCGCCTGGCAACCGCCAAACCGGCCCGGCGGGAAACAGCCGGCCCCGAGCCCCGGCGTTCCCCCGCCTCCGGCCGGCGGGGGGCGAGATCCCGCGAGGCGCCGCCGCCCCGCCTCCGGGGCGGGCTCGAGCTGCCGGGCGCCCCCTGCCGGGCGATGACGGCGGGGCGGGAACGTTTGCGAGGCGGAACAGGGAAGGCGGGGCCCGGAGCGCGGGAGCAGCGGGGAGCCATGTTGGCGGCTGCGGCCCGTGGGAGCCGCGGGTTCAGGTAGGGCCCTGAGCCGGGCGGCGAGCCGCTTTCCGCGCCCGCCCCGCCGCAGGCCCCCGGGGAGGCGGCACAGCAAAGCGCTTGGGGCCCGGTCCCGTCCCCAGGGCTCTCCTGGCGGCCCGGGCCAGGAGTGGGGTGTGGGGTGTGCGGGCCGCGTTCCGCACCTTGAGGAGCTGGAGCGCGGGCACCTGGGCCGGTTCTCCCTCTCGTGACAGCCGCCGAGATCTGAGAAACGGCACCTCCTGCCTCCTCGGGTGCACGGCAATGGTTTTGCCTCTCCCAGCATCAGCAAAAAGGCCATTATCAGAATATAAGAATAAATTACTCTAGCCTATTCATAAACTTAGATGTAGGAGCTTCACCCCTTTGGCACCCTATGGATTCAACAGCCCAAATGTTGGGTTTAGTTACCTCACTGGAGAGTGTGAGGATATCATCTCTGGGCAAACACTGTATACAGTCATGAATTAAGTAGCTAAAAGATGATTCAATACTTGTTACTGTAAATTTATAACCAGTAAATAGCTCTTGTGTTGTGCAGAGTCAATGATGTGAAGATCAGTGGCAGCCCACGCTTTATGTTCCTTTTCCCCTGCCAGCTCCTGGCTGCCCCAGGCGGTTCCCTCCAGAGGAAGACACTGGCAGACATCGCTGCTGGCCCTCGGGGCATCGCTCCCTGTGAGGTGAGTGCAGCTTCTATGGAGCATGTCAAGGTGTTTTCATCCTTAGGGGAACACAGATTTTCCCAAGTCCAAATTAACTTTTAACTATAGATGTTTGATTTTTTTGTCACTATATGTAAAAGTGAAGAACTGTTGGTCTCTTGAGGAGAGTTTAATGGTAACCTATACAATTACTGCTTTATGTTTGTGTGTAGCTGTATTTACTTCTACCACAGAGTGTGGTTGGAGATGTCTGGGTTTATGCTGTGCTCCAGAATTCCTTTTTGAGCAACAGTGCAAACAAAAGCCTAGCTGAAGCAAAAGTACTTTACTATAAAGTGGTATACCAGACAGCCCACGTTTATGTATGTGTTGCATTTTATTATCCATGTTTTGGTCTGATGCAAATTTAAATTATTCTGGTAGCTATTAGGCACCATTGGAGAAAATGCTTCACACCATAAAGGTTGGCTGTTTGGTCTGCAGGGCAGGAGGGATATCCCACAGGTCCACTGTGAGGATTAGTCTGTGTTTGTAGAGCACTCCGTACGTTATCTTGCCTATACTGGATCTATGTGGAGAAGTACAACAGGACAGTAACATTTGCCACCTGAATTTGGTTCCAAATGTGGGAATTTTAGATGCATAACTGCTTATTCTCTTCTTTAATGTGAGATGACAGGAATATTTACAGAAACCTGTTACCTGCTCTGCTGCACTTTGAGCTAGTGCAACACAATTTCAGTTCCATTTCTGTGGAACTTCCTTAGGTCATTCTGATGTTCGGTACAAAATTGGAGGTGGTTTTTCTCAGGCAGGTAGTTCTCTCTGCAGAAAATCTCACAAGACATATTACAGTCTTCTGGAAATTACATGAAAAAAGCTAATGGGTAGAACTTATAATAGGGACCAAATTAAGCAATGGGAAGGAACAGTCCTTGGAAAAGTAAAGCGGAAGTGAAAGCTGTTGGTGTTGAATTAAATAACAAAATATCTTCTTAGATTTGCATCATTATTTTCCTTGTAGAGCACAACCGAAGAAGAAGAAGAAAGTGGATGTAAGGAAAGAGCAAGCACAGAAGGATCGTATGAAAAAGAAAATTAAAAAGTTGGAAAAAGCTGCCCCAGAAATGGTTCCAATTGAGGATTTTGTAACACCACTTAAGTACTCAGATAACAGCAGGTAAGTAAGACTGTATTTCACGGTAGAAACACTGTTAATTTCTTTCTCTGCAAGACTGCAGTATTGTGCCAGCCTTGGTACAAAACCTCATTTACCTCTACCTGGACAAAAATGGAGAAAGCAAATTTTATTTGCTCCTGCTAAAAGTAGTGAGAAAATAGTAAGATGAATTTCCTGTTAGAATGACTGGAAAACCTCACAGACAGACACTGCATGAATGAAATGTATTCTCTGAGTTTGGTAGGGGTTTTCTGGTTGGTGGTAGGGTTTTTTAAAATTTGCTCTTTGAGGTACAGGCTATTTCTCTATTACAGTGTTACCTTATTCTTTATCAGGGTGCGAAGTCTTCCCCCTCTGTCATTTGAGGAGACTGAAAGAAGAGTTTTACTTATGAAAAAGTGGTCTTTGTTTAAGATGAAACAAGATAAGGCAGAAAAGAAAGCAATTCAGACCCTTGTAGAAGCTCAGCAAGAGGCACTAAAGGAACTACGCCTTGAATCCGAGGAGTTGTACCAGGCAGCAATCAGACGAGATGAAGGGCTTTTCCCCTTTGAGAGAGATGGACCTAATTATACCCCACCACTTCCTGGTTATGATCCTCCTGAAGGAAAATGTGTAGATATCACCAAAGTGTATACGCAGTGATGGAGGAGTTTGTTGTTCATCTGGCACAAGCTATTCAGCCAACTGAAGGAGGAAAGAATGGAATAAGAATAAACAATTCCTACTGCAGGTTAAAATACTGTAGGTGTGTGATTAAAAAAAAAAGTATTAATGAAGTATCTGTTTGTTTGGGGTTTTTTAACAGCTCTCTAGATAGTAAAACACCCAACAAAAATACACTACCTTACACTTGTGCCATGCTAGAACAAGACAAAGCAGTAGTATTTCACAGAGTATTTTATCTTTCTGGTCTTTTATCTCTCATCCCTCCATACATTCCCAAGCAGTATCTTTTGGTTCTACATAAACTATAACTTGGAAGATTCTTATGCTATGAGAAAACAATGTTACAGTCATCACATCACAATCTGTACTATAAGGGGGGGTAGCAGCTGACTGTTTACTGCCTTTTTAAGACTTCAGTGAAGTACTTTTGCATATAAGAGGGAAAATACACCATTACAAAGCCAAAATGTTTTGTTTTTGTTTTTGTTTTTTTTTTATATTGCCATGTAAGTATTGTAACTAAGTTTGTAAGAGAGATGAAGACTGTAAACAGATCTTTCTTCAGATATTTAAACCTTTATTTTTGTAGTAATTTTGAATACTGCCATCAATACACATCACCGTTCAAGAGCAGCTCCACGAAGGAGCAGGGTTGCAGTTTCAGGGTCTGCATCACCCCACCAGGTGAGAAGATCTTAACCCACAACAATAAGGAATCTTGGAAATGCATTTTAAATGCCAGTGGTTGTGATTGTCCTGAACTGGCAGGGAGGACTCCCAGCTTGCTTTTGTTTTCCCATCTGGCAGGCCTGGGGCGGGTACTTTGTTTCAAAAGTATGTAACACCAGCTGGTAGGGGAAGAGGTCCTCCTCTAGCAAGAGGAGCTTGGTTATGTATGTACTAATTTGGGAGTTGTCTACTGAGTTACTGAAATTAAAGTATAAGACAGTAGTAAGAGATCAGAATCAAATAAAGGACATCACTTCTCCCTTTAAAAAAATACTGGGTGTTTAAATAAACTCTCAGTATTTTTGAATGAGTACTAAAGTATTGCAGGGCAGAGCTACAATATAATTTCAGGATGACATGGAAGAAAAAAACCCCACATAGTTCTACATTGTATGTTACATTACTGACGGAACACAGAAAAACAGCCTTGCTATTTTGGTTTGTCTTGGTCAAGTGGAAGATACCAGTCAGGGGGTGGTGTCTTCCTGAGAGTCCACACTGAAGCATATTTCTGTTTTTCCATAACTCGAGCTCTTTCACTCTTGCACAAAGCTTCCTGAAAGACAGGAAAAAAATATTACCTTGACAAATGTTTGACGTTTGATTCTTAGAGAGCTTATTTTGTGACATGACTATTATCTCAAATAGCTTTACCTCAAAAATGATGAAAAGAAAATGATCATGCTTAAATATAAGTGCCAAATGCTATATAAGTAAGCCAGGATACAAGCTCTTAAATATGTCACATTTATATTTTGCCTCGGACTCCTCCATTATAAAGAGAACTACTACTCGGTGCTACCCTCCCTGTCAGAAGTTACCCTAGTTGGCTGAAAGGATGAGGTTACGCTGCACCCTGTGTGGAAAGGCTCTCTTTCAGTGTTCATGGAGCTGGAGCCAGGAGCATTTCTGGACACCCCAGGAATACTTCTTACCTCTAACACGGCAGCTTTTCATATTAGGAAGGGAATATTAGAGTAGCAGACATCAAGAGCTTTTACAACACAACACTGAAACTACTCCCGCTGGATGTTAAGGCCGCCTTGCCCACCTCAACTCTTTTCCAAACCCTCCCCGTTGTGCCGACGCCGCTCGCCCGCAGGCGGCTGCGGGGTTTCCGTCCCACCAGCACCGGCCTACAGCGACCCGGGCGGGACGGCGACGGCCGCTCCCGGCTGCGGGCCGGGGGCGCGGGCGGTACCTGCGCGGCGGCGTCGCGCCTGCTCTCCCAGGCGCGGCAGGCCTCGTAGTCGTCCCGCCAACGGTCGCAGGCCGGCAGCTCCCCGTGCGCGTAGTAGTGGTGGAAGGCGTGCCGCAGCCCGCGGCAGTGCTTCCACTCCCACCAGTAGTCCTCGCACGACCGCGGCGGCTGTGGGCGGACAGAGAGCCCGGGCTGAGCCGCCGTCCCGTCCCGTCCCGTCCCGTCCCGTCCCGTCCCGTCCCGTCCCGTCCCGTCCCGTCCCGTCCCGTCCCGCTCACCCGCCAGGTCTCGCCGTCCGCCATGCTGCCCCGCCTGAAGGCCGCCGCCAATCCCCGCCCCGCTTTGCGGAAGAAGCCGCGCGTCCGGCCAATGGCGAGGGGCGGCACAAAACTCGCGGCTTGGCCGCCCCGCCCCCAGGTCCTGCGAGCCCATGGCTGTCTATGTGGGCGGGGCTCGGAGGACAGCACGTGAGAAGCTCACCAACCCCCCCCACCCGCTCTCGCTCCATCCCCCGCAAAAAACCCGTTTTCCCCCCAAACCTCCCACCGCAGGTGGGGGTGCACGACCAGAGAAAGCGCTGGAGACAAGGGGCAGTGCCCCCATCTTGGTTCTTTTGCTGAAATCACCACACGAGGGACGCAGTCTGGTTACCAAAGAACCTTTACTCAGCCTTGGAGGAGGGCACACAGGGGTATCCTTGCCCCCGTTCTGTTACCCATGTAAAGGCTCAACGACGGGCCAGCACGTGAAAGGAGGCACAGGTTATTACCGACACCGCAGCTCTGTGCTCCCTCACCAGCTCAGGCAGATGGGTCTCACCTCTCCCTACACGTGCCATTAGATTGCTACAGTACATTATTGTATCTGAACTAGTAAAAGGCATGTTATTAATTATAAATATAAAAAGCAGTTACAGGGAGATTACTTAGAATGATTTATAACCCAACACCAGAAGCTAAGATCAAAGAGACTCCCTCCTCGTAAGTCTTCAACACCCAAGTGTTAGCCTTCATTTCTACCACACCAAAAAGGTTACCTGAAAGTGTGACATATATATATGTGTATATATATATATATCTAGAGGGAGAAAAATATCAAGCACAAAGCAACATGAGGCCATCATCATTCAGGATATAAGAGGGGAAGATGTAATCTAAGAACTGGACCTTTTAGTAAGGTAGACCTTATTGGTTTTACTTCCCAGATCTATCCAAGATATACTTTTCCCTTTTTACAACACATACAAAAATCTCCTTCAGAATTCCTAGAACTTAATTTTCAACAGTCTGATAGCTCCGGTTCTAAATGTGAAACCAAAACCAGTAAAAGCTCTCCTGTGTTGCAAAACAATCTATCCTCTTAACTGCAATAACTAAGATCCAATATGCTGCAATTGTTATTTTATTTTCCTCCCGACTGACTAAAGGTACCACATCTTAGGGTTTTCTTCCCTTTTTGCGCAGGGACTGTCCTTCTCCTGAAAAGGCAATAAACCGGCTTCCAGATTCATCCTGGAAAAAGGAAAAAGAAAAAAGGTTGTTACCATTTGGTTCCTGCTTCTGTGTGAGGAAAGCTGAACAATCATTAGAAAGAACATGCCATCAGAGCACTAACTGACTGTAGACATTTCACATCTTTAATCTACATAGTAACCACTTTCTTCCTGAAAATAAAATCCGAGCATTTCAGCGACCTTTCAGCCAACTGAAACAAGTACATGCTGTCTTATTAAACTTCTATCAGGCCAATCTTTTTACATCAGTAAGCAAGGACACTGGAGGTTGTTTTCACCTAACTCAAACCACCTTTTAACTACTATCATATTTTAACAGAAATCACTGTGAAAAATCAAGTATGGAGAGAGGAACCACAAACTTGGACAGCAGTTCTAATGCTGTGCAAAATTGGGAAGAATCCAACTTTATTTACCTCTTCTACTTTCTTAACTAGTGGACGTGAGTTTCTAATGAATGTGATTCTACCGATCTTGAAGTCATAGTTGGGTATTCCTCTGGAAAACAAGAAAAAAACAGAAGAAGAAATTTTATACCCACCATCCAACTGCACACAGTGAGACCTGTTCTGTGTCCGTCAGTATTGTACTGACACTGGCTGCAAATGTTCATTACCAAATAACTCTAAACCACTGAATTATTTTCTGAAGGTAGGCATACATCACATGAAGCAAACAATCAGATACTGAAGCTGCTGCAGAAGCTTGGCTGTGGGCATGTCTCCATGCAGCCTGTGGTTTCCACAGGGCCATAGACATGCTTTTCCACAAGGGTTGAAGTTTTATTGTGACAAATGTAAATGACAGACCACCACAGGAAGCACACTCCTGCACACTAAGTCTGAATTTAGAACTTTCCTTCTCAGAAAAAACAAAACAAAACTAAACTAAACCCACCCATGGCTTGGCTTTGGTTACCCACCCAACTCAAAAGAAGATTTCTCTCTACACCAAATTTTACTTTAGAAAATTGGCCGGGTTTTTGTGCATCACTTGGATCCAGCCCACTAGGACAGACTAGACGTGCTGCCTCTCCCTGTTTGTCTTCTATAGAACCAGAGTTGATTGAGGGCATTTTGGCAACATTAACTTAGGATCTGCACCTGTAGAAGTCAGGGATGTCATAGTCAGTCTAGAAGATTAGACTATTTATTTTCTAAATGCAAACATTTGAGGAATTTAGCTTGTTTATATTGCAGGAGCAGAAAAAACCCAAACAATTCCACTCAAACACTGATCCTTCACTTGCTGACAGCTGAATGAAATGGACATACCTTCGAATGTCTCCTGGTTTAATTGGCGACGGACTAGGCTCAACACCTTTCTTCTTGCCATCCAATCTGTTCCCAGAACCAGAGAATGCCTATGTACACATAATGAGTTTTATTTTAACCATATCTTGTATTTGAAAGAACACTGCACAGGGATACTATTTTCTGTAAAATCTTACTATCATTTTTATTTAGTTCTTTGATTCAGCACGTTTCTTTTTAGTACGTATAGTAAGCTGATGAACACTGGGTGTACATATGCTTCAGTCTCCTGGTTACTGAGTGCTCCTTTAAGGACAGCAAGTCATACCGTTACTGGCTGCAAACATCACAAAATATTTGCAGATACCCAACAGTTAAATGAGAACAACCTCTAAGAATAGGTACTAGTATTTTGCAATTGTTTGGAACAACTTTCCCTCACCATTTTACAACATTCAGAAACCAGAAGAAACAGGGGACTTACACGAAATCCTATGTCACTCACATATCCACTGTGGTCTGCTTCAACATCCTGTGAGGGAAAAAAAACTGTAAAGTCATCATGTTCATGTTGTGATATGCAAAACACATGAAAACAGTCCCACGTATTTCCAACCAAACAAAACTTTCAAATAATCAATTTCAGAAATCAACAGTTGGTAAACAACCATCTCCTAAGTAACACCAACAAAAGCATCTGGTAAGTAAAGTTTAGTCTTAAGAAATTGTTTCAGGAAAAAAAATTATGTTGGAGCTCACTGCTCCATCACAAGCAAGGCTGATTTCTAGAGAATGCGTTTCTGAAGAACAGAAGCTTAACTTACTGTGGATTCTTCATGTTGAGCACTTCTTTCTGGTTCTTTGTACCCCAAGGGAGCATCAAAATCCACCTATTTACATACGAAGCATGAAAATAAACATGATTTATATTTTTCTTTTAATCATAAGCTTTATACTACTATTCCTCACAACTCCATAAACTATCACTCCATTCTGATCAAGAAAAACCTGAGGTTTGCTTGTTAAACATGTTAACTCAGAACTAAAAAGACTAAGCCTCCCAGGAATGAGTCTTAGCATGTAATTGAAACAGAGCAGTAAACCAGCACCCCACAATATCACTGGAGTCTGAATCAAGACAAGGCTGTTAAATAAAACTCAGATTATAGAACACATAGAGTCTAGACATTAAATTCCACCCACTGCAGTCACCTGATGGTATATGAAGTACAGCTCAAGACCACAGATGTGGTTACAAAGGTGCATACAGTACTCTCAAATCAATCATCTTCCCCATCCCATCAGATTTTATCTTTCCTGCAGCATCAGAGGTGCTTGGTGTAGAATGGTTTCACTGAACCAGATGCCCTCTCCTTTTGGGAGGACACAGTAAAAGCTGACTTTCCATGTCAGCTTTAACTTACATTCATATCGCATTCTATGATGGACACAGCCTTATCCGGTTTGGTCTCCATTACCCGAAGCTCATAGATCTGAAACAGTAATGAATATGTTAAGGTTTCGCCTGAAAGAGCTCAACTTATAAGTAAGAAAAGCAGAGCGTAGCCTTTCCCTTCAAATAGCTTCAAGACAACTGAAATAAGCATTCCTTACATACCGTACCTTTTCATTGTAGTTGATGGCAATAACATCCCCAGTAGTTAGACAAGCGAAGTTTCTCAATGCATTCTCTAATCTTTGGATTATGTTAAGATGAAACATTTGTTTTCAATGCAACAACAGAGCTCTAAGTGACTATGTTATAAAGCTCTGATCCTTGGTCTCTCAAAGGTGGTCTAAAAGCCATCAGTACTGTAGACAGCCTTTTAGTAAATATTAGGGTGCACCAGTTCTAAAGACACTCACACTCAGTGGACCTTAATCCAAGATTCATGCTTCTCCACTCCAGGTTACACTTTGTGCCAGCAGTCTGCAACATCTCTGTGCATAATCTCTCCATCCTTCTTGTTTTCAGAAGGAGCAGTAGTAGTTACCTACTACTGGAAGAGTATGAGCCACACGTGAAAAGCTAGCTCTGCTTCATCTTTCCAATTTGGGAAAAAACCTCTTGCTCCCTGCTCCATAACTGACAGGAAGGATACACAGCTTTGGGATTGGTGATGTCAAGAAAATCTGGACTCTGTGGCTGAAATTTTGAGTAAGTAGCAACTTGAAGATTAACACTCTCCACTTGTACCAGGCCTCCCTCTTCCAGCAGCAAGTTCTGCATCATCTGCAAGAACAAAAACAAAGATACAAATCACTATGAACAAGATTGATGCTTCTAATTCTTTCTTTGCATATACTTGTTTTCTCTGGGACCATCATCTTCCCTGAAAGGCACCAGTTTACCATGGTATAACTTCAGGAAGAACAGTCAGGTGCATCTTAAAAGTCAGCCTGCTTAGCTTACTTAGCTAAACTCTCATGGAGGGAAACCTGAGCTGTGACTGAAAGCTGCTGTAGGAACATGACTAGCAAAGCCTAGGAAATACTTTCAGGAAACATTCTGCCACTTTAATATTAAACTGGCAACTCAATAATCCTACTCTTCAGGTTTTGACAGTTCAGCACGAGACAACTCACCCAGTGTGGAAGGTAACATATGCCCTCATCGGCCACAAATTCAAGCACTCCACAGTGCGTCATTCGGTCTGAATTTTTATTGGTTAGCTTAAACAGCATCGGGTAAGTAATATTAAGTCGGCCTGGTGACAAAGGAGAAAAAAATTCTATTTGTTAAAAGCCACTTGCATATTTCTGAAGCTTTCAGAGATTGAACATTAGCAAGAGAATGGGCTAGGTTATAGAAGAGGATTCTCCTTACGCTGATATCCCAACTCGTCAAAACTGTAAATCCAGGAGAGAATGCATATGCGTGAATACTGTGCTGTCATTGCACTTAAGTTTTAAATGCCTCTCTCAACATTTCCCCAAGCTCAGAGATGAGCAAGCACCGGTTATTAGCAGAGTAATCTATTACTGTTATATTCTTGTACTATTATCAATTACCTCCTACCTTATGAATTTCAGCATGCTCTGACTACTTTAAAATTAAATCCCAACTTAATAGAATTTTTTTGAGAAATTAGTAAAGGCTAAAGCTGTGGTGGGGGGTGAGGAGGGCAACTCTCAGTTAAAAAAGCTAATAAACACCATTTATTCTATTGAGTCAGTCATCATCTTCCCCATTTCAAAGTTAATTATCACTTATTTTGTCTTTATGTTTTGCTCCAAACAACAGCGTTTAGAACAAGCAGGTTGAGATTAAGAATTTACTAGATTAACTGTTACCATTATACTGAGTACGCTATTAATAGTTAATAAAGACTGATTCATGCCTCGGGTAGCTCAACAGTCCAGACGTCTGTACTCAAAGACAGACAAAATACCTCCAAAATACATTTTTTGAACTAGTTAACCTCCTGTTCTTTATTTAAGTAAGATCTTAATAAATAATTGAAATACTATGGTATTTGCTTACATATTTGCTCATATTTCTAACATTGTTATTCCAGAATAAAATATTCACTTACTGAGTTGATCCAAAGCCGATGGTGGCATAATTACTGCAGAAATTAATAAGAATGTAAGATTAGGAAAAGTATGACTGTACAAAGAGAACACAGCATACAATTTTATGATTCCTTTCTCTAAAATCTCTAAAAAAGGAGATTCTAAAATGTCCTGTAAATTCATTTTTGAGCCAGATATTTCAGTAGAATCAATCACAACAAGTATACCTGCTAGCATGGATATTTCAGAATGTAATCACAAAAAAAAAAAACAAAAAACAAACAAAAAAAACCCACAACACAAACCAAGAAGACAAGGTTTTGCAATACCTAGTGCTCAAGAAAAATGTTTCTTAAAAGCAGGTTTTTTTTTGTTTGGGCTTATAAGTGCTCTTAAATCGATGTCAACTCAAGACAACAGCATTAGTTTGACAACCTGCAAATTAAGTTGGTTGATCTATTCTCTTTGTTCGGGCTAACTAAGGTAAAATAAGGATGGGAGGAAAAAAAAAATCCTTAACCATAAATTCCCACAGCTCGTAATGGGCCTAAAATTTTAACAAGAGACTTTAAAAAAGAAGAATGTCTTCTTCTAATGCTCCTAAATCAGGACTCACTCGGTAAGTTTTTTTAATTACACACTAACGCTGTAAACCCCTCCTCTTTCCTTCTTAAAGCCCCACCCGGGGTGTGTAGCTCCAGGCACAAAGACAACAGTACGCCTTCACGCTCTTCAACAATGTTCTGCAGTCTTGGCCGAAATCTGTATTACTTGATATTATTCACAAACACTCTTCCAACAGGTTATTTAGTCAAAATAAAACATGCACATACTCTTCCCGCCTTTCTCCACATCTGACCTGTCATTAGGTCCAGCAAGCATGGATACCGAGAAGCAGCGATACTGGGTTGAAAAACGGTTCTGGAAAACCCGAGGGATGGGGTGATCAAACATATTAAAAGAGAACTGTGAAGGGGGAAGAAAAAAAAAAAGAAAAAAACAAACACAAAGAGCGTATTAATAGGTATCTACACCATACTGACGTGTTACAGCATTCACTGAAGGATCCTTATCTAAAACTACACTTAGCCGCACGGTTGATTTCCCCGTCAACTGAAGGCGCCCCTCTTTTTTCATGCATCTTACATGCTGGTCTAGGGAGAACACTTGTGCGTCAGGCTCTGCGTGTGGGGGCAGAAAATGGAAGCAGCGCGCTTCTAGATTCCGCTTGAAGCGAGGCTCCCACCGTGCAACCGAGCCCCCAGGACGGGTGGCGCTTCCCCGAGGAGACGCCGACACCCCTGGGCCGCTGACAGCCGCCCGCCCGCCCTCCGCTCCGCACCAGCGCCGCTGCACGCCGGCTTCGAGAAGAGGCTCCGCGGGCGGGCAACGGCCCGGGAACCGCCACCGGCGGCACCGAGAGAACGCGGGGCCCAGCCGCCCGCCCGCTCGCCGTGACTCGGCACTTTTCCCGGCCGCCCCGCGGGCCTCACCATGGCGGCGGCGCTGAGGCGCAGAGCGGCAGCGCTCGAGCTCCCCACAAGCACCAACGGGAAAGCAAACCGGACTGGGCCGCGCCGCTCTCTCGCCTGACGCGGCTCCGGCCGCCGCCGCCGGCCCCACCCCCGCGGCGCGGCCTCTCCCAGCCTGCCGCGCGCTGCTCACCTCCTCCCAGCGCGGCCATTTCGTGTGAGGGCGGAAGTTCGGGAGCTCGCTCGCACCTGCCGCTGCGGCCATTGCAGAGGATTTTTTTCTGGCCGCTGATGGCGCTTCTCTAGTCACCGCGTGTTGACGCGGCGCCTCCTGCCTATTTCCCGGGCTCGCTAAAATGGCAAAGCAAACAACTCGCCAGCGGCAAAGATGGCGGACATGGTAACAAAAGCCAACTTGGTGCTTCCGGCTGAGGTGCTCCTGAGGTTGGCCAGCCGCGCGTGTCGCTACTCCGTTTTCTCAATCCCATTGGCGAACACCCGGAATAGGTTGGGCAATTCGCCTAATCCGCTCTGCGAAGGCGGGGCGGCCGCTTTTTCATTGGCCAGCGCGCTGTGACGAGCAGGCCAATGGGAAGCGGCGCTGGTTTGGCGCCCAGTTTGACTGTGGGGTGGCCCGTGGCCGCTGCTGCTTCGCCGCCGCTTCTCCCGTTCCTCTTGTGCTGCCGCCATGTTCGTCTCCGACTGCCGCCGGGAGTTTTACGACGTGATTGTCAGCCAGGTACGGGTGGCGGGCCGCGGCCGGCGAGGAGGTGGTGCCACCCCGGGCGTCTTGGCGGCGGGCGGAGCTGTCTCCCCTCAGGCCGCTCCTGGCGGGGCTGCGGCGGTTCCCGCCGCCTCACGGAGGGAGGACGGGGTCAGGGCGTCTCTAGCTCTGTCGACAGTGGCTGAAGCGCTCCGGCCCTCCTGGGGCCGCGGGGTGTGTGCGGGGAGGTGGTGCCCGCACCCCGGTGCCGGCGCGGGGAGCGCAGCTGGCGGGCGGGCGGGCCTCGCCCCTCGGGCCGCGCTGAGGGCGACGGGCCCGCCGGTCAGCCCGGACTGTAAAAATATCACTTCCCGGGCGTCTGAGGCGTTGGAAACCCGAGCCAAAGCGCTGCTAGTGCGGCGAGGTCTCGCCAGAGGTTTTACTTCAGTTCACATCTTTCTTGCGAATGCTTTGGGTATTCTTGTGAATCTTTTGTTTAACCAACGCATCTCTGGATCTATTTTTTTTTTTTTTTTCTTCATATCTTTTTAACCGTTTCGATGTTGTTCGCCCAGGCACTAAATCTTGTACTCTGTGACGTTTATCTTTCAGTCTTGTAGCAGGTTTGCTTGGCTACTTTCATTTTCAACCCACAGTTTGCTTAACTTTGTGCAGAGCGGATGTGTACTCTGAACATCATATAGCTGTTGTTGTACAATTTTTTAATCTTTATACCTATGAAACTATTATGAAATGTGCAAATGAAAGCATTTCCTTCAACTGTATCTGTGAGCAAAATCTCAAAAAAAGAACCCAAAATAAAACAGAGAAATCGCCAGATGAATTGTTTTGCCTAAATCAAGGTTATTTCAAGTGTTACCTTGATTCTATTTTTGCTGTAGATTTTCTATAATCAAAATTGTTCTGAACCCATCCTGAAAACTTGGGCCTTTCTAAACATAATAGTAGCTGTAGGGCTGACTAGCTTTGATCCTTCAGAACTATGTGCAATTCATAGGAGTCTGAATAATTACATTTCTTCAAAGCAGCTGACGTATTTTAAGCATGTGGACTTGTTTATTGTTCATATTCATAGGGATCCAAATTGGTATATTTTGGTTGCAGTGTCCATTTAGAAGCAATCTCATTCTTCAATTTTATGCTTATGATGATCCCTACTTAAATTTTTAACCTCTGGATCTCACAATGATCTACGCATTTCATATACCAGCACATTAGATTTGGTGCCTCTGTTAAGATATTAATACTGTTATTCTGTTATTTTTGCAGCGTGTTCTTCTTCTTGTTGCTTCAGATGTTGATGCATTATGTGCTTGTAAAATACTCCAAGTAAGTCTTTGTTCATTATCATTGTAGCCTAACAGTGAAAGAAAAAAATGTCCTGGGATCCTTTTAATAGATTTGAACTGGGGAAAGGGTGAAGGTTTAATGTGTTTTTGTAACTTATTTTTTCCATGAGTTATGACACTGAAAGCTGGTAAATCATACTCCCATAGTTCATGTAGAGATGTCATTTGGGATGTCTTCAAGATAAAGATTTCTATGAAACAGAATTATAGCATGGTATAGCATTGTAGAAGAGGTTGTTTCACCTCACTTTTGCTAACAGCTGTTTCCTTCATTTCAGGCTTTGTTTCAGTGTGATCATGTGCAGTATACACTTGTCCCGGTATCAGGATGGCAAGAACTTGAAACTGCCTTTCTAGAGCATAAAGATCAGGTGAAAAAAATACTGGAAACTTTTCAAGTTGCAGCTCATCTTATATAGATATGCACTTCTTCATTTTCCCCAATGTAAAATGTCAATTTTTAAATTAATTATTATTGGTTATCTCAAAACAGGGGTTAAATTTGAACATATTAATAACAAACTTGTTAAGTTTTTTACATCAGCTCAAACTAATGTGCTATATTTTTGATAGTCAAATTAAGTTTGTATACATTTTGAGATATAAAAGGTGGTGGTATTGGATGTCCAACATCCCTGAATTTGGTGTTTTGTTTTACAAATTATCTTCTTCCTTGGAGACATCAAATAAGAGAAAGTAAATACAAGTTTTGGCAATTATGAGTTTTGTAAAGATGTTTTCAGTCTTCCATGTTTTCTGCTAATTTAAGTGAAAAGCATTTTTTTTTTTTTTTTTATTTGCAGTTCAAATATTTTGTTCTTATTAACTGTGGTGCCAATGTTGATCTTCTGGAGATCTTGCAGCCTGAAGAAGACACTTTTTTTTTTGTATGTGACAGTCACAGGCCTATCAATGTAGTGAATGTTTACAATGACACACAGGTAATCGTTGTTCTTTCATAATAAAAATATTTGCACAGTATGGTGGTGGGTGGTGCAGTGTTTTTCTGTGTTTTGCAAAACTGCTTACAGTGTTAGCTAGTAGGTCAGGAAGCAGTATTAATGGATATTTTCAGTAATATGGTATACGATCAGGAAAAAAAAAAATCTTTTTTCAGTCATAAAATATATGCTGTTAGCAGTGTGATAGTTGTCAGTAGTAAGCACCTGTTAATCCTAATGCTATAAATTAAACTGCTACAAACCAGAGGATAAACATCCTCCAGAATGTAACAGGTATTATCTCTAAGCATCTAGCAACATCTAGAATTTGAGTATTAAGTACCAATTATTAATAACATCACTTTGACAAACATAAAAAAATGATACTTTTCATAATGCTGTAACAAAGGAATATGGTTTTTACTCTTATTTTGTATAAATAAGTATGGTCTCTGTATTAAAAAGCAATGTTTTTGTTTTGTCAGGAATTGATCACAACCAAAATGAATTTTTAGTTTCTCTTATGAAGTATCTGAAGTATTTTGATTTGTGATTTGAAATGTGTTTTAATCCCTAAATAAGATACTTTATTTAAAATACTGTTTTTTTTTCTTGCTAGATTAAGCTGCTAGTTAAACAAGATGATGATCTTGATGTTCCTGCTTATGATGATATCTTCAGAGATGAAGAGGATGAAGAGGAGGACTTAGAGAATGAAAGTGATGGGTCAGAACCTTCAGAGAAACGTAGACGTTTTGAAGAGGTGTGTTTCTGCTACTTTGTTGTGAAAACAAGGAAAATAAAACAGATACTGCATATAATTTACATCATCATCATAATGGCATTTGAGTTTAAAAATTATGTTCTATTAGATCACAAATTCAAATGTAAGATTTAAAAATAATCTACTATGACCAGTAGAATTTCACATTCACAAAATGTTTATCTGAACTGCACAGAAATATTTTCTCTTTATAAAAAAAGATGTTTTGAACTTGATTATGCATAGTGCTGTCTTTGTGTAACTGAAGAGATCTATCTCTGATTACGTGCTCTGGGCTTTTCAGTCTAGCAGTACAACTTGTTTAGATAGAAACTTCTTTTTTTATAATTGAGAAGACAAGATCACAAATAATTTAACAATACTTTTTGTGTGTCCTTTTAGCAGTAAACTAACAAAAGTGTATTATGGTAGACACAAAAGGTTAAATTTGACATATGTTATTTGTAGCGTGTTTTCTATTTACACCATACGAGGAAGCAAAGGCACAAGGCTAGCACTGTGGAATCAATTACAAGTAAAGACATTCTCAGATATAATATATATTTCAGGTTATTTTTATATTAACATTGAACATTTCCTACAAACCTATGAAGGGCGCCAGCTCAGCAAAAGCAGGTATTAGAAATTCAAAGGAAAATCTGTAAATAGTATACAGAGAAGCTATTCCTGAATCTGTTAAATATTTCACAAAGATCTTGATTTTGAGTTTTCAAGCTGATGATGCTATTTATAGTGCTTAAATATACAGCAAGTGCCACTTTTTATGAGCTTCAATATTTATATCTATTTTTCACCAGTGTCATTTTTATGTTATAAAATGGTAGGATGTGATGTTGCTAGTGTTGAAAATACTATGTACAGGGCCTCTTATTTCTGAAGGTGAGCTAAATAAATGCTAGCACAGAAAGATGCCATGACTTTATAAAAATGTGTTCATATTTTATAGTAATACTCACTAGATGTTGTGAAAAGATTAATTCTTTTTAATTAAGACTTAGTCATTAAAGTATCTGGGTAGGTGCTAATCTACTAGAGTATTTTTTCTAGCTTTTTAAAATCCAAATTAATTTACAGGATGTAATAGAGAGAACAATGAAAAGGCGACAGAGGCGAGAATGGGAGGCACGCAGGTGTGTTTAACTGTTTTGTATTTTTTTTGTTGCTGCTATGTCTTTTTCTTTCTCTTTGTTTAAAATCTTCTTGAGATTCCAAAAACATACTAAGCTGCTTGATTTGCAAGATGCTTTAGTTCTAACTTTATTCAGAAAGTGGAGAGATACTTACTATATACAAACAAAACACTTAAATAGAGGATAGTTGTAAGTAGTAATATATAAATTTGAGTAGCGATAGGTGCGATGCTTCACTTTTAAGTGAAGTAGTAGCCTTATCTTGTCTATTTTGGGGTGAAATTTGTGCTTCCGTTTTCTTCCTTTACAATCCTACTATTGTCAATAAGAATGAGCAGGCACAAATCAGATAAGAAAATGGGATTGGAGGAATAATGATTTAATAAATTTTTCCTTTTTACTTTACAAGTACATTTCAGTGTGATTTACACATTGCTACTAAAATCGAATTGCCTTGTAGAAAAGCATTTTCTAGTTTAAATTTTTTTTTTACTGCTAAAATGAAATTTAAATATTATTTCATACTTCCTGGTTTATATTTTTCATTGGATCCAATGACCAGCTCACCACTTAGTCAAATGTGGATTTTTTTTTTTTTCTCTTTATAGACAAGAAATTCTTTTTGATTATGAGCAATATGAATACCATGGGACCTCAGTGAGTATAAATTCTTGTTTGCCATAAAAAACAAGGTGCCAATGTAAAGGTAATGTTATAATTATTTAATAATACTCTACATTATTGTTATGCATGAGATACATCATATGTGTGTAAATAGTTTGCCTTAGCAGTTTAATGTTTTCTGATTGTGTAAATCCAATTTTACCATTGATGAATTAGATACATCACAAAAACAATATTGGTAGACTGTCAGACAACAGCCAATGGAGGCACAGTGGCTAATGCAGTGTTAACGCTGTTAACTATTAACATTTTTGTTGTTTGATACCTTTAATGTGAGTTTAAAAAAAATATAGTGTAATTTTTTTTAGGTCTTGCACAAGTATCTGTGTACAAAATAGGGAGCTTGTTTGCCTTTCAAAGTGTCAGGATATTTCAAATATAACACTTAAAACATCAAACTGTTCATTCTGTCATTTTGCCTCTTATCTGATTATATTTTGTTACATGCTGTTTTATATTTAATGCAGGTTTGCAAAGCTGTATAAAATATTTTTCTTTCTACTTGCTTTCTTAGTAAGACACTGGCAGATTGTCAGACTCAAGTGTGATTTCTAGAGCTTTAGTAACATGTTAGTACTTGGCAAATTTAATCATGTTCTAGTTGTTTAATGAAGTGAGAGGTTTGTGTTCATTTATCCTGTCTTTTTGCTTTTCCCTCATATAGTCTGCAATGGTGATGTTTGATCTGGCATGGATAATGTCTAAAGACTTGAATGACATGTTATGGTACGTTGCCATTATCATTTTTCGTAGAGACTAGAAGCTTAAACCCATAGTAAATAGAGGCAAGTTTTCCCAAAACTATTTGATTTCAGTATGAGTTTCCCATTTATATCGTGGGTGGATATATGTCTTAAATTGAAGGACACATATGTATAAATTAATTATAAGAAACCAATAGATTTTCTGTGGAAAAAGGGAGGGATGGTACTATATGTGTATGTCTGCTAAAGAGAGAATATTAGTATATAGCTTTGTTATTAACTTCTACATATAGTTGGTAAACAGTGTTTCTGACTTGTTCTGTTACATACTTTGAGGGTTAAATTGAATATACTCTGCTGGACTATTTTTTGTTTTAAATTTTTTTTCCCCTTTTATTTCCCCCCCCCCTTTTTTAGGTGGGCTATTGTTGGTCTGACAGATCAGTGGGTCCAAGATAAAATTACTCAGTAAGAAAGATTTATTTTTTTTAATATATCTTTATTTTTTCTTTGTTTTATTTATCCATTTATTAAATTTTTTTAAGGTGTAATTAATAGAGATCGGTAAATATGTGGGAATTCTATAACACAAGATAATTAATAAACAGTGACATTAAATATCTTAATGCCTGAACGTGATTTAATGCTTTTTGAAAATAGGAATATACATCAGAAAAAGCTGTATTTTCCTTTTCTACTATCTAGAAATTTTAAACTAACTTTATTTTTCACAAAATTATAAAACAATCACTTCTGATCTGGGAAGAAATGGTGTTTAATAGAGGTTTATGTAAATATAAACTTGATACCATTTTATAAAAGAGGAAAAAAATGCGTATGTTCTGTACCCTCTAGCTTCCTTTCCAGTTTTAGTTAACGAGTCTCAGATTTTTTTTTTCCCCTTGTTTCTTATTTCCTACTAGATGCCACCAGACTTCTAGTTGCACTTGTATAGACTTTAATTCTGGTATTCTCTTTTTACTAATACCCTAATGTTTTGAAGGAGATCAATGTAATAACTAACTAATTTCATTGGGTCAGTCTATCTGTCTCTCTGTATTGTTTTTATTTTAGCTTTAATTGTTTGAGTGTATGGCTGAATATTGAAAGAACATTACTTACATCTTTTTTTAAAAAACAGATTATCTGCAGTTTTCATGCTGCTGACTGGCCAGTGTGTAAACTTTAGGAAGCGTTTTTATGTTCTTATAATCAGGAACAAAAATACACAGGAAGAAAGTGAAATGACAGATTTGTTTTTGTTTAAGAATGAAGTATGTGACAGATATTGGAATCCTACAGCGTCATGTATCTCGCCATAACCACCGCAACGAGGATGAAGAAAATTCTCTGTCAATTGATTGCATGCGAATAGCATTTGAATATGAGTATCCTTGTGTAAGATTTGGGGAAAATGAACACTACTCACTTGGTGAACCCGAGTTGAGTTTTTATATAGGGAAAAAAACAAACAAAAAACCCAACAAAACAGTACCATCTCTGCTGCTGAGAATAGAGTTAAAAGAAATGGAAATTTGAGTGTTTTGTTGAACATGAATCCCTGTTTCAGTAGTTCATTTAGCTTCTGTTCAACTTAACCTTTCAGAATTAGTTACAAGTCAATGTTGCTCCTCTTGTGTTACCTGCACCTGCAGCTTCTGACTGTATCTTAAGTAGTACAGAGATGCAATGTATAAAGGGTAACTGAAGACTTACCTACTAGTTGTGGAGTTTTGTTACTATTTGTAACTTAAAATTATGTATGTGCTTATAATTATTTGCCATAATTCCTGTTCAGTCTGCGCCTGGCTCTTTATCAGCACTGGTCTCTATATGAAAGCCTCTGTAACACTTCATATACCTCTGCTAGCCTTAAGCTTTGGTCCGTACAAGGGCAGAAGAGGCTTCAGGAGTTTTTGGCTGACATGGGGTGAGTTACAAAAATATGGGTCTTGATTAAAGGATCGTTTTGTCAGTGAATTATGGGGAAATATTGAGACGGTAGCTTGCAAGTACTCATTAGTTTTTAAGTATGATTGGGGGGCTCTGAGTAGGTTGCATGTCTTTTGAATTGACTTATGTAACTTGTGTCTTGGTGTACAAGGAATACTATAACTGTATGCCTTTATGGAATAGCAGATGAGTAAGTAACCTATACGTAAGTAAAACATGCACTCTTCAATGACTTAAGAGAATGCAAACAAGCTTAGTCAGACTTACCTTGCTAAATTATCCAATATTTGGAACGCCTTGTGAAAGGAAGGCAAAATATTTGTTTCTTCTGGCATACTTGTCAATGTATTTTTTCCTTCTGTTTTTAGTTTGCCTTTGAAGCAAGTGAAACAGAAGTTTAATTCCATGGACATGTCTTTAAAAGAAAATCTTCGGGAAATGATTGAAGAATCTGCAAACAAGTTTGGGTAAATTGTTTTAAATGCAAATACTTTATCTGAATATACTTTTATATGAAGTTCAAACATTTTTGTATAAAGAGGATGTAACATCCTGTTCTAAAAAAATATGGCTTCTAGATTGACAAAGTTTGTCTCTGTGCCTACTTCGTAAATACCTCTTAAGTCGTTTGTTTGCTCTGTAAGTAAATCAAAAAGTTCTGACTAGGCTTGTTGCAGATTTTAGGATATGATTTGTCTTCATGTTAACATTAACATATTGAGGAGATAGCTGGTCAATGTTGATAATGCTGAAAATGTTAATAATCTTCACTGGTTTTATTTCATTTTGCAGAATGAAAGATTTGAGAGTTCAGACTTTCAGCATTCACTTTGGCTTTAAGAACAAGTTCTCAGCAAGTGACATAGTATATGCAACAGCTTCTCTCATGGAAAATATAGAGAAAGAGGGGCCTGAAACAACTAATTTCATTAAAGCTTTGGACAGTCTCTCCAGGTACTGAAAATACGTCTCTTCATTCTTTCATAATTTTGTTTAGGAAACATGGGTTATGTATCTAAAAGATGCATTGATGCTTCATAAGCCATTGAAGAAACATCAGAATATCCCTGTGAATAGTGTTTAGATTTAACTTTTGTGTGAAAAGCTTTATTTTTATATGCAAGTGTTTATTCTTCGTTGTAGGGGTAACCTGGACAAACTGCACCAAGGACTGGACCTAGCCAAAAAGCAGTTACGTGCCATTCAGCAGACAGTAGCCAGCTGTATTTGCACCAATCTTGTAATTTCTCAGGGGCCTTTTCTTTATTGTTCACTCATGGAGGTCAGAATTCTTGTTTTTGGCTGTCTCATTTCACTGTCATATTTGGCTATATCATAATTGAATAATAGTGTTTTCCTAACTGCTTGACTCAGTAAGAATGGTTCCATCAGAAAGAAGCTATTTACCTGTACTGTGCTGTCCTCTCATGGGTCAATATTGATATCTACTCTGAACTTCCCAAAGGAAGAATAAGTCCTCTCAAAGGGAGGACTTAAATTCAAAGTCAAGTGTGTGAGCTCAAACCCCTATATTGTAATAGTTCTTGTTAGTGTTCTTTCAGCCACACAAAACTTTTGGATTTGTCAGTAGGTATTTAAATTGAACAAGTGAAGAATCATCTTGGATTGTAATTGAAATACTTGTTTTTCTAGGGCACGCCAGACGTGAAACTATTTTCCAAACCAGTGTCTCTGTGCCTGCTTAGTAAATACCTGCTCAAGTCGTTTGTTTGCTCTGTAAGTAAATCAAAAAGTTTTGACTAACTAACTTCTGGCCTGTGTAGTATTTATTGTTCTATTGGATGCTTACAGTTGATTATTTAAAACATTATATGAAAATCTTAATAATGTTTTTCTGTTAATTGGTTGGATATTTTTACCACAATTGTGAATGCTGCTTTAGGAAAGATACCTGTCTAGCAGACTTCATAGCATTAGAAAGAGTTTTAATCACTAAGATACTTACAATCTAAAATCTTTGTGTGATTTTGTAAGTTTTGAGGGAGCATATCACTAAATATGTACTTTGAAATGTTAACCTGGCCAAAAAAACCCCAACAATATTGCAGGACTGGTAAACTGGTAATTGTTATGTAAATACTTCTGTGTTTGTTTAAATAAAATCCTCTGATCTTTACAACTAATGCAACTGAAATTAAATTTCATGTATCTTTTGAGCTACTAGTTACTCAACTGAGATAAAAGTGAGGTTTTAAGATTGAGAACTGTCTTCCCAGTGAGCGCTTATTTATTTGTAAATTAAATTTATGGTAGTCCATCCTTGTCAAATTGCATCTATCTGTCCTCATTTTGAAAGTTAAACATGGTGAATAACTAGTTTGCCACTAGGAGCAGGACAGCATTTTTAAAACTCACTGCAAAACATATACCTTAAGAACAGAACACTTTAAACAAAGTTCTGTTTCATTTATTTGTCTAAAAACATTAAAATCTTTGTAATTATTTTTTGATTTAATGAAATCACAAAAATCTGTTAAAGTTACAGCTTACTGCTGTAAAATGATATAACCAGGGAAAATAATTTCTGGTGAAGACTGTGTTTGTCAGTGTTTTATCCATTCTATTTCAAAGTAAAATGATTATTGCAAAAAATTAACTGCAGTCCAAGTTTTTAGATAACCATATCTTCAGTTCTTTTAAGAGCGTTTTTCTTTACTGTAAATCATGTCTTGTCTGTGTTAAAATGGAATGTGAGATTGGAAAAGAATTTAAATTTCTATTGGTCCTTAAAGTTACTTTTATTGTAAGAAAGAAGGGGATTAAGAATTTCTTCAACATCTGTTGAGCTGCATTATAGCTGTATCTTTAGATGAATATGGGTAATACTATCTGACAGAAAGAGCTGAAACTAAATTGTTTCCTGAGTTTTGTCTAACAAAGAGGCTTTCTGACTTCCAGACAAAAAACAAGCGTTGTAAGTTGCTACCACTGGTAATGGCTGCACCAATGGACGCTGAACAGGGAACTGTGATCATGGTGGGGATTCCTCCGGAGACAGAAAGCTCTGACAAAAAGAAGTAAGCATATTGTTTAGAAGTTCTTACTAAAGGTTATCTATAGACTTCTCCTCTCTCTGAAGCAAATGTATCTTTCCTGTACCTACTCAACACTGAATATATTGACTTGAATTATATCCTTTTTCAAAACATGCTTTTTGCATATGGTATGCATGAGATACTTTGGGAGAGGATACAGATGTTCCACAGCTTCCTTGCAAGTTTGTCTTTTTTTTCCCCTCCCTCTTAACTATTTATTTATCTTAAAAGAGGGAAATAGTTCACTGTATGGCCCACGACTTCATTTCTTAAAGTCTGCAGTGTTAAGATTTTTGCACTTCAATAAGTGAGGTATATGCTGAATATATAGCACAGGAAAAACTTCTGGAAGACATTTTCAACTCTCAGGAAGGAAAAAGTTCCATACTTCAACCTTAGTAACTATGTCCTTTTCTGTAATGCTCATTTCTATTTCTTTTCAATTTATAGCTTTTTTGGAAGAGCATTTGAGAAAGCTGCAGATAGTACCAATTCTAGGACTTTACACAACCATTTTGACATGTCGAGTGAGTAATGCTTCCTGTCACTTACTTAATTCACCAAATAGTCCTTTAGGGGTCAGTGTTTACGCAGCCTCCATAAAGCATGACTGTAGACAATTTACTAATTTACATATGTCTTAGATACAAACATCAAGGGTGTGTATGTGATACACTATTCCTGAATCTAGTATAAACACAAGCTACATCATCTTTTTTCGAAGTGCTGTTTTGTTGTGCAAAAATTATAAACTACTAAGCAGAAGCTTGCATATCTTTTTAAAACAATTACATTTTGCATGGAGTAATGATTTTCATATGTGCACTTAAGTTTAAAATCTATGAGTTTATCTGTAGAGGGTTTTTATATTTAGCAGTCAAACCAAGTATGGTATGGATGTTATGAAATGTGTTCGTTACTGACTGTTTGAAAAATGAGATACTTGTGCAATGAGATTTGCCTATCTTTGTATGTGCTTACGAAAGAGGCAGTTTTTAACAATACAAACTTATGCATGCATGTTGAACATACAAAGAAACAGTCCTAGATTTAAGAAGTGGCTGCTATATCACGTAGTGAGCACCTATAAATCTGAATTTGCTGAAATCTAAGAGCAAAATAAACGATGTGCTTTGCATTTTGTCCAAATAAGTAGTTTCTCTTTTACTTTCTTAAAGTTGATTAAGTATATAGATAGGTATACTCGGAATTATTATTCTTCAGGTGCAACATCTGCTATATCTTTGTTATTTGCATCTTGTAATAAAATATTTCCTATTTTAGTAATTGAACTGAAAACAGAAGACCGAAGCAAATTTCTGGATGCACTCATTTCTCTCTTGTCCTAAAGGTAAGACAGCGTAAGGAGGATTCATTCAAAAATTAATTACAAATCAAGTTAGTAACCTGTTAGTATCTGTAGAATGTTCTAAGAAAATGTAGCAACTTCTAGTGAAAATATAAATTGGAGGTAAGAGTCTCTTACAAAGACAGTTCTTTTGGGGAGGAGGCAGACAATGTACAAGCAAAATATTATTTTCTTTTTTCTCCTTAAGAGATTTATTTAAGTTTCATCATCCATAATCACCTCTTCCATTGTTCTTAACTTTTTTGTGGCTTTTTAACTTCAGCTGGGAAAGGAGGAGCTGTTTGTGTTGTGAGAGAAATGGAGATATTAGCTAATTGTAGTTGATGTTTTGTTACTTTTTATTTTAATTATGAAGGCTTGTTTGAGCTCACGATTGAATTTTGGCCATAACAGTGCCGTTCTTGGCTTTCAGGTTAATGTAGAATTTGCATTTTTCTTTCACAGTGCTAAGGTTATAGCCTATGTTAGTGTGGTTTTTATCTAGTATAAAGATGGGGACATATCTTCATTTGTAGTTGTGACTGTTAGCTTCACACTACTTCAAAGTCTGTTTTAAAGCTCTTTAGGATGAGATAGATTTTACTGTAGATCTGATGAGACTGTCAAATTGTTGCAATTGCCTTCACGTATTCACTACTTTTCAATGATGAACTATTTTTATTGATTTGTGTGTGTGTTTATTCTGCAGTGATGGGTGGGGATATCTTACTTTCTCCCAGAGAAGCAGACAAACTGTAAATTGTTTTGTAAAGCCTGTTCAGACAACCTGTAAGACTGTTTGAAAGTATATACAAGTACCTCATGGCTTTTGCATGTCTAGCTAAAGATTTGGTCTTTAGTATTAACATGTGAAGTAATCTCAAGATTATGGTATATATATGAAAGCAAAGGAGTAAGATGATGACTTTGACAAAAGTCTGTAAATGTTCATAGTCCTAGCCAAATGGCAATATGGCTTACCTTTTTTCTGTGGGTATATAAGCTACAGTTTCTTCTGTTCACTCAGAAATTTGAAACAGTGGATCAACAGCTGCAATCTGTTTGTTTCTTTACACTCTGAATACTGGTTGTTTCAGTTTGTCTTCTGCCGGTGTTCTTGGCTCCTTATGCTGGAAGCTGAGGATCCGATGCTCTGAAATTATTTTGGATGTTCCAAAGTTCATGGTGCTGCAATTGTGAAGTATCATCTTGCTTTATTTCAAATGTACTGGTACAGAACTAGACTGTTGTTTTTATTCCTCCTCAGAGGTAAAAGGATTTTAACCTTAGCAGACAGATATTGAACACTGCTTCTTTGTAAACAACCCATCCTTCTAATGGCAAAAGGTGTCAACTAGAAGTATTTAAAATTTAACTTCTATCTGTCAAATCTGCTTTTATGAGTAGACATGCTCCTGTGATGTTTAGTTGTTGGCTAATAACAAAAAAAATAGGTTTTGAAGAAGTTTCATATTTATATTATTATATTACCATTCAAATGTTCTTTTTAACTTGTTCTAAATGTTTAGTGTTGTTGGGTTTTTTTTGTAAGAGACTTTTTGAAACTCTCCTTTAATTTCTAGAATATTGAAACTGTTGTTTAGTACTATCAGGCTGAGGTCTTGTGCTTTAATTGAAGTAACTTTCGAGAGACGAGTTTTAAGATTTTAAGGCTTTTAAAATCCAAGTACTGAATAACTGCCAAATACTGAATGAAAATTCTGGGGAATTCCAGTGTCAAGAAAGCATTTTTAGTCATGTGTTATGATATTGTATTGTCACTTGTAGCTCGGCTTAAGGAACAATTTTCCTGGAAAGAGTCTAAAATACTATGATAATTGTGTGTAGATTGTAGCATTATAAATATTGACAGACTAGCTTAATTCTGTCCCATAACAGAGATTTAATTTCATTTTGGTCATATGAAATGGTATGGTTCGTTAGACTTAACCTGCTGTGCATTGGGTGGGTATGTATATGTGTATGTTTGGAATTCTTCTTGCAATGTTTGCTTGAATTCTGTGTGACTTCAATGTTTTCATGTATTATAATGAATATGTAAAGGTTATGTATCACTGCACCATACACTGTACAGATTTTTAATACAGGTTAATTTAATATTAAATGTGATTTAAATGTAGCCAACAGAAAGCTAATTAAACTATATATTTTTATTCAAACAAAAGTGATTGTTTTATTTTTTAAATGTTGTCATCTTATCTGAGTAAAATCTCTGTGCCAAGTTGTGATGGCCAAAAAATTGTGCTTCCTAAGATAAAACATAATGCCACCTTCTGATTTTGCATGTTGATTAGGTAGTATTGGCATTAACTTATATTCCCCCTTGCCAGCATACTTTGGGTTTTTCCTGTACACAGCATAATTTTATTTATTTCTGAAGTAGATTCTTGTGCTTTAAGTCTCTGGAAATGGAAACACAGAAGTTTATGTTGGTTTTTAAACACTGATACCAGTGCCAAGCCGTGATTACAGTGTAAAACTAGGAGTCTATGTGACACTAAAGCACACTTCTAAATGTTTTCACTTTATGTTTCAGTTACAAACTGCTCAGTGAGTTAAGTTAATTTCCTAAAATTACCTTAAACTTACCTGTCACAAAAGAATCACTGCTGTTTCCACAGTACTAAATGACTGTAACTTCAGTTCAGTCCTATCATATACTTAGGGCTTTCATGCTTCTAGATGTAAATATTAGAGAAAAACATGAGTATGTGTAGCAGTAAATACAATGTGCTTCAGTGTGAGGCCACCTTCATGTATAGGAATGAATAATGTGTGCTGGGTAAAATCTAAGTTTTACTTGCACAATCTGTTTGCTCAGTAAATGCATAAAAGGTCTTGCACATCCTGGATCTCTGACTCATGGTTCAGTGGCCATGTATCAGGAAATCCTAAATAAACAACTAAATTCCACATTTTCTCCCTGTACAAAACCTTTAGCCAGGGGGAAAAAAAAAATGTGAGGAAGGCATCAAAAAGCATGGGTATGTAACATGTTAGTTTAATTACTATCTCTGTCTTCAGTTACATTTAGTGCTATGCTTTCAATACATGGAATAGTTTTGATCGCTACTTTAGTGAGGCATTGTCTTTATCATCTCGTTTGGGGTTTTGTTTTTCCTGGTTTTTTTTCCTCCACCCTCCCATTAGAAGCGATGTGTGAACTCCTGCATCTCACCTCAACAATTCTTTTATTGCTGTTGTATCCCCTGTCCCTCTCCTGGAACTTTATGTATTTACTCCGTTCCCCTTTCAGGCAGGGTATGTTTGCGTTTTACTGCTACCACTTTTTCCTGCTGTTGTGATAAATACAGACCTTGCCTTGCAGTGAAGAAGAAAGTTGAGGGCGGGAGTGTTTGTGTGTTTTAGTAGGTTACTGTCATGTCTTGAAAAATGGACAAAGTTTTGGGCACAGGCACCCTTTAACTTTAGCATATTGTGTCGTGCTGGGAGGATGAGAAATGGGAGCTAGTTTTTATGCTGGGAGGCATTGGTAATTACTTTACTGGCAGGTTCTTCGACCCCCAAACAGATGTGTAAGCTTGAAGCTGTGGATCTATTACACACAGAATAAGCTTCCCTTGTCTGTCCTGTATTGCTTTCTGGGGTTTGATGCTTTTTAAGGTTCTAGTTTTCCCAAGATCTAGTGGAAGTGCCAAGAATGCTTTTACAAATTTTAGAATTGACCAGCTGTTGAACTGTTCCCAAGGCCATCCAAATGTGGCCCCAAATCAGTCAGGAACACTGAATGCTGTGTAAAAAGAAGGTTATTAAATCTACATGGAAACCTGAAGAGGTCTTTGCAAATAGGTAAAACTTTTGCATGTTGACATTTTACAATATGTAAAATAGTACCAGACACTTGTTACATCCTTTATTCTGTGATACAGAGTTTGTAGTTTAGTATGTCAATATTACTTGGAGAATCACTGTATGAGAAGATCCAAAATTGTGGCATCCCCAGTGTGTAGACATAGAAGTAGCTCAGTTTAGCAGCAGTAAATTGGTGATTTGAATGGCTCATTGAAACTCGGTTGTGTAGGTTGGTTAGAATGGTCACTTCTTACAGTTAAGTGTTGGACAGAGACTCCATGCCAAGAACTTTTGACATCTCTTCATGAAGAGATTATTATGCTTTTGATTTATTTGCCCAAAAAGAAAATGTGGCTCTAACAAGTAATTTTTAAATACATAGTTAGAGCACTAAGAAATCGGCTTACCCTCTTAGATGTATGGTGACATTCCACCTAGGCATGTCTGAATACAAATACAAACATTCCCTAAGGATTATATTTGAGCTGCAGTAACTCTTTTTCTTCCACCGTGTTTGCTTGCTGTAATAGTAGCCTCATAATCAGTTCTTTAAATTATTTCTGCTGCTGCTAATCTGTTTTAGAGAACAATAAAAGTATGAAACAAATCCTTTAAAATGTTTTAGTTTTTTTAAGAAAATAAAATAATGAAAATCCTTAAATACCGAAGTACTGAAGTAGCTGAACAAGCTGACTAAATTATACAATTCCTGCACAGTGGTTCATGGGCATTTTCTTTCTGGGGTCATAAATTTAGACATGATTGAAATTGCACAGTAAGGAACTCATTTGATTGGAATTAAAGTGAATCCTTTTCCTCAGAAATACTGTAGTGACTTAATAGACTTGTACTTACCAACATCAAGGCTGCATAGTAGTTAAGAATTAATTCTTATTTCTCTTACTCTTTTAAGAAAAAAAATAAAAGTAAAGTACTACAGCTTGCTTGTATGAATGAGCTACTGGGTCTATGCTACTTTAAACATGGTATTAATAGCCCTGGGAGGAGAACACCAGGCCATTTAATTAGTATCTTGACCTCTGTAATGTCAAAAGCAGGTGTTAGGGAAAAGTATAGAAACAAAGCAATTGCATATGATGCTTCCTTCCAGATACAAACACAAGTACTCTCCCAGTTCTTGCACTCAAGGGCATCCTGATCCAGGTGTGTTTTTTGTGTATTTGATAACTGTCAGTATTTATCTGTGAACCTGGATAAATTCCCCCTGAATACTTGTAAAATTCTAGCCTATGCAGTATTCTGTAGTGAGTAGATCTGCAACCTAGCTTGAATACTGTATGAAAAACTACAAATTTTTAGTATTTTTTTAATTTGCCAATTGCTAGCTTATTTGATGCTCTGTAGTCCCTAACCTTCTGTGTACTCATCATTTTTAAAAACTTTTTTATATTCCCCACAGTCATCTCTGCCAGTCTGAAAAATCACCATCTAATTTTTTCTTTTACAGGAGCTATTCTGTATCTTGATTACTGTTCTTGCTCTTCTCTAAATCATTTTCAGATAGGGGAGAACAAAAACTGCACACAGTATTAAAGGTTTGGGTGCAACACACACACGTGTCTACAACAGTATAAGAGTAGTGACTGTTTTCTGTCCCTCTGTCTAATAATTCTTAATACTCACTTTGCCTTTTTGACAGCTATTGTGCACCAATCAGATTTAATAGATGTAGCTGGTATAACACCAGTATCTCACTCGTGACTGTTAATGGTCCAAACTATTGGGTTTTTTGCCACGTGCATCACTTTACACTCATCAATGCAGAAAGTAATCTGTTTAATGGTGGTTATTTTCAAAGTCAAAGCAAGAGCACGATGAGTCTGCTGCACTGAAAAACTGGTAATAAGGAAAAATACAGGAAAAAAAAAAAAAGACACTCCAATCACTGAATGATGCATAAGTTCATGTCAAGAGTAAATTCTGATCATTTGGTGACGTAAGATGGCAAAAACAGTGAAAGAGCTTAACAGTAAAATAAAAATTAAAATCTCCTTACAAGTTTTAAAAGGATTTTTTTTTTTAAGATTATTGTTTATATTTTCTCTGCTCTTGTTAATGGAAGTTAAAGTCTCTACTGCGAGCTCTAAGAAAATTCTTTTGCAAATATTCACAATTTTTACTTGCTCTTATAAAACCTGTTATATAAAGGACAGAAAATATTTCTGGGTTGAATATTTGGAGATATTACGTTTTTTTGCCCTGATCTGGAGGAGTATGTATGCCTATCGTCAGACTGTCTCTTATGCTTTGGTACTTAGACAAAGATATGGTTGATACGACAGTGATATGGGCTCTATTTCATGAACCTTATCAAATTTAGCTTCAGTATCTGCTATTTATTCCCACTACTCACCCTGACTACGCTCTTAGAGCCTACTGCTTTTATGGCAGAAGCAGTAAATCAGAGAGATTTCAGAGTCTGATTTTTTTTATCTGCTTTATCATCAATTTGAGTTTATGTTAGCAGATAGCAATCATCTCTTTCAAACCTGACAGGGTCTGGGAGAGCCACTGCAGTCTTAAAATTCTGAATGGCTTGTGGGAGAGCTGTTGTGTGTTTAGTAAAATCCAGTGTACTCTAGAGAGAATGTAGGCTACTGCTTTCCTGATGAGTGGAATTCAATGGGACTAGAACTACAGGTAGAGAGGTCCTGGGAAGCCTAACATAAATGCTGGAAAGCTTGAGTTTGTACATTACATTCTGTCATTTGTTCTGAAAGCAAAAGGTAGTAATAAACAGTAAGGTTTCATCTTGTTTTCTGAAATTTTCCTAGCAAAAATGTTATTGCAAAGGTATATATTTTTTTTCTACAGTCATGAGGTTTCCTATGGAAAGAAGTAATTAAATGGGGGGATGAGGTATCTTAGAATTGCCATGTTTAGAATCTGTGATCTCAATATCTTAGACTACAAACGGAAGACTAACTCTGAGGTGTTTCAAGACATCTTTCATGCTTCAGTTTTACTGTTTCCACTTCATTTTCAGGACAGCATTTCCTGTCCTCAGTTGTCCATAAATACAAGATAAATAAAATGTTACTTCTTTCTAGGAGAGATAGCTCTAATCACTAGTCTGGAGTACCCCAGTTTTAAGTTCTGAAAAAGGAAAGTTGTAAAATCAGTCTATTTTGTAGAGGACTTTGAAGATGGCTTTGTTGAGTTGAATTGGCCACTCAGGGTATGCTAACTTGCAAAGATGGGAGTAGTACAGAACTATTTATTAAAAGGGGAGTAATCAATAGAGTATCACAACTGAGGAAGAGACAAAACATAAAACACTCAGGACTGTTCTCAGGACCATAAACAATAAAATAATTTGATTGTT